TCTAACCAGCTGTTGATTTCTTTTGTTTTGGTCTGTTCAAACAACTGTCGGTCTTTGCTTCCTAACAATGACAATTTTACTTCTACTTTCTGTCTTTTTGCTGTTGTTGCTAAAAATGACACTGTCTCTTCAGGTGTTGAACAATTGGTCATTGCTATCAAGTCTCTTCGGTTCATGGGGATTTCATATTGCCATACTTGGTCGGTGTCTACCGAAAAACTTTCACAGACTAAGTCGACTTCGCTCTCCACAGGGAGAGGGACATTTTCGGGTAGGATTTCTTTGGCATGGCTTGGCGACTCTGAAGGAGCGCCACTTGAGATAGGTATTTCTGGTTCATTGTCTGGTTGTTCAGAACATGTGGCCGACGGGTTGGAGGCGATGTTTTCTGGACCATTTTCCCTTAGGTTCTGACTCTCTGGCCCTGTAGCTGGAATGCTACTCTGAGGAAATGTTTCATTTGTTACATCTCGAAAGTTCTGAGGCGTTCTGGCAAATCCCGTGGGTTCCTGAGATGCCTTGTCTTTCAGCTCGGTCTCTTCTACCGCGGTCACTTAGCCAGACTACATTATGGTCTTCCTGCATCACTACTTTGAGGGGACCTATCCATTTTTGATTTTCCCTCCATAGCATGACCCATTCCCCTGAATGATATTGACCTCGGCTGGGTCTTGATCTTTGCAGGATGGCTCTGCGCATTGCCTGGCTGTTGTCCACCTTGCTGAATGCCTTTCTGGCTCTTTCCCCGATGGCAAGTTCTGCGCGGAATCGAATGCCTTCTGCAGTTTGGGACTCTGTGACCGAATGTGAGGTTCTATCAAAATCACTCGACACGGATGCGGCATATTTGCGAAGCTTACCAAACACTAGAATTTCCGGTGGGAAGCCTCTGTGACGGCTCCATTGATCTTTGGTTTGTGTAGCAAATGCCAAACACGTCTCCAGTTGGTCGTACGTTTCGATGCTCTCTTCTAGGTCCATTTTGGTGATTATTTCTTGGAGGATACCCCCATGTCTTTCAGCCCTAGAATTCTGCCAAGAAGCTTCTGGAGGGATCATTCGTTCTTTAATACCATGTCTCTGGAGAAATTCTAAGAACTGATCTGTCCCGAAATCAGTGGCGGAGTCGAGACACAGCAGACCTGGTGCACCTAAGCCTTTTGAGCGGCTTCTGAGTTCCGGCGTGGAACCTGAGCCAGCGCTTTCTCCTTCAGAACCATGCAGGCATGCTCTGCTAAGCTTCCCCAAGCAACAAAGTCCTGACAGGTCCCTACGGAGCGACTGGCTCCGCCACCAATCACAAATGTGATTGGTAGACGGAACCCTTCCCTCTCAACCTGGACGACCACGTCCGCCAACAACAATGACCACTGTCAATGTAAAAAAGACCAAGGTGCCCTGCGCCACAATGTAGACAACCCTCAAAAGAGCCCTGCGCAACCACTGGTTTCCGCCCTTCCGTAGCCAATGCCCAGCCGCACGTTTTCCGGTGAACGGCACAGGCTCATGAACCCTCCCACCCACCTCTTGAGATGGTAGGTGGCGACGACGGCAAACAGGAATGCTTCATCATGTGACAGGGTATTCTTCGAAAAAATGATACATACATATATATATATACTGTATATATACAGTGTATGTATATATATATATATACCACAGGCAGGATATTTAGAACTGGATTCAACACTGTACGTTGACCGCCTTGCCGCGGGCAGTCAAGTTGGAAATTTACGCCGTTCAAAGACGCTGGTGGCCAGACCGCAGCTATCCAGCATAGTCCTCTCATCTCTGATGTTTTGATGTATTCTCCTTTGTCGTGTTGTCGGCCTACTAGGTCATGTTGCTTACCGTAGTAATGTAAGTTTTTTGCCCATGTCAGGTAACTCATGCGCCAGACAATTACTCCGATGCTGCAACAACTGCAATTGGAGATAACTCCGTGCTGGGAATGACAAAGCCGCGTAGCCCTTTTACTCCTTTTTGAGTTGTGTCATGTAGATGTCCATGAAGCGGCCAAATATGGCAATGATTTTTGACACAGTGGGTGCCAAGCAGCAATTCTGCAGAATTGCAGTTGAGTTTAAGTGTTGGTCGTGACTCTATGTGTGGTACCCCGAAAAGCTGGACGGGTTGTCTTGGACACTGCACCTTCTACCAAAACCTGCATTTCTGCTGCCAACTTGCAAGCTGTGATGTCAGGAAAGACATTGGTTTGATGACAAGTAACGCTGGCCGTTGGACAGCTGGAACCATCAACCTGGAACCAGGAAAACCTGGGAACTGTGGAACTTTTCTGCCACAGAGATCATTGCACAGAACTCTTTTTGGGCTGGTCGCTGAACTCGTTCAGCTTGGCACGTTTCGGACTTGAGATGAGTCCTGTGAAAGTCCGTCCTGTAGAGAGGAGTCCCTTGTCGATAATGAATCATTCAACGTCCTGGTCAGATCTCACCCTGACATTGATTGCATCATTGTAGAGTGTGTGCGGGAATCATGTTTTCGCCCTGCTGTTGGGTTACGTAGTTTTCAATTTTCCTTCAAACATTCCATCATTGTTATATCTCATCATCTCTATATATATACACAGTATATATAAAGTCCGGCAGTTGGACTTGCAGATCTTACACCCATGGCAAATAGCTAGGCTTATCGTATTTGTTTTTGCACAGGCCACCCGCCCAGTCCATCGGGGAGACGAACAGTTGCAGCCCCAATTTCAGTGTGTCAACAGAGAGTATCAGATTCTTTGAGTTTGTCATTTTTGCGCTCTAAAGGCAGAAAGAAAGACGGACAGATCTAAAACGTCTGAAAGGTCTATATAAAGAAAAAAGAATTGACGCATGGCTACTAGTAACAAGGGCATCGCTACTAGTAGCAAGAAGCTAGTAGTAGCAGGTGCATCGCTGCAAGTAACACTGTCACTGTCATGTTGCACATGCAGAGACTCCTGTGAGCCGAGGCTTGGCACAATCCACCCAGTGCTGCGTGGGGTTCGCCACACAACGCAGTGGTGCATCTCCAAGAACACCTCTCTTCGCGTGCTTTTCGTTTCGAAATCAGTGCGAGAAAGGCGGATAGAGAGAAGAACTTGAGAGAAAAGAGAGAGAGAGAGAGAGAACAACTTGAACAGATGGAACGGGGAGGAACGAAAGCCAGTAGAATCGAGATGTAAGTCCTGCTTGTAAGGCAAGGGGCAGCTGACAAAGTAGAAATACCAAAAAGCTGTGCAGAAAGAAAACGGCTTGAACAGCACCAACCGACCAACCAGCCAGCCAACCAACCAGCCAGCAACCCAACCAACCAGCCAGCCACCCAACCAACCAACCAACCAGCCAGCCACCCAACTACCCAACAACCCAACCCACCAACCCACCCACCAACCAACCCACCGACCAACCCGCCAACCAACCATCCAGCCAACCAACCAACCAAACAAACAAACCAAAAACAACAAGAATAACAACACCAAACATAAACATAAACAACAACAACAACAACAACAACAACAGCAACAGCAACAGCAACAGCAACAGCAACAGCAACAACCACAACCACAACCACAACCACAACCATAACGACAACCACAACGACAACGACAACGAGAACAAGAACAAGAACAACAGCAACAGCAACAGCCACAACAACAACAGCAGCAACAACAACAACAACATCAACAACATCAACATCAACAACAACAGCAACAACACCAACAGCAACAAACAAACCACAACAAACAAAAAATCACACACAATCAATCAATCAATCAATCAATCAATCAATCAAGCAATCAAGCAAGCAAGCAAGCAAGCAAGCAAGCAAGCAATCAATCAATCAAGCAAACAAACAAACAAACAAACAAACAAACAAACAAACACACAAACACACAATCAAACAAACAAGGGTGTTGGCCTCTTCATCACAAACGCTGCGACCAAAGCCTCCAAGAACGTTGAAGCGACCCGTCAGCATGTTTACGAGTCACTTCACTTTCCCTTCTACGTCCCAAACCCCTCACAAGCTGTTTCAACAAACTTGTACATAAACTCCAACTTGCCTGCGGAAGCCAAAACTGCAGTCGTGGAAGCTCACGGAAGCCACCGTGTACGTATATGGTAAAATTCACCACCGCTGAAGCTTTGCGGAAGTGCATATTTTTATCTTCTTGACAATACTAAATACTTCTACTACTAAGGAGATCTATGATCTACCGGCTAAAACATGTTTCAAAGCATTTTAGCGGATTGGATTCTGGTGCCAAAGCACGTTCGCAATGCAACAGCATTTAGTAGCCCTTGACTGACGACCAATCAAACATCAAAACATATCAACATCATGTATATATTATATACACACATATTTATGAGTACGCGACATGAGTGTTTTGTGTTGAAACAATTGGCCAGCCAACTGCTCCCAAACAGCGTAACAAAGCAAGAACAAATTGGTGCTTGAACACAAGCCTGCGGTTGCACAATACCCCCAGAGCTGCCGTAGCCGCAGAGCACAGTCCTTCGCATCAGGTTGTGGCAGGTTGTGCAATCGTGGTGGGAAAGATGACATTTGGTACTCCTATTTCAGATATATACTTTACCGACCCGATCGGTTTGCCTGTGGACCTTCTAAGGGTGGGGCTGAAGCTGATCCTGGTGTTGAGGAGATTTCTTTGGAAACAAGGCCAGAGTATCCCTGGTTTTGGAATTCTGATTTCTAACTTGCATAGGTAATGGCGTTCTTGGAGGTGCCTTTATGCCTTTGTTTGAATGGAAGTAGCATGTGCAGTCAACCGCACCGCACCACCTTTGAGCCTTGTTGTCCTTCTATTGTTACCGCTGTCTTGGCCCTTCAGCAGATGTTGGAGTCGGAAGGCTTGAAGAAAGGACCAATCAAAGCCACACTCGTTGTTGTACGTTTGACGCCTCTCAATGAAAGACATGCCCACCCTGAGAAACAATTAACAGTATCCAGAGATAGTCTGATGTGTACTTCGTCCTTGGGCCATGTTCTCATTCCGGGAGGTTGGACCCGCACTGGCAGTCGGAATTGTGCTTTGGAAATTTGTTCTACCAGGGTCTTCTTTGGGAGGCCCTAGCTGAGGATGAATTTCCAGCAGTGCATGCTACTCAGATCCTTGTGTCAAACCAAAGCTATGTGCTCTAGCTTTTAGGGATTTTGGTGTCTTGACATTTCTTGACTCCAAGCATGTATGAATCAGTATGAATGTATATACTTCACCAACGCACTACCAGAATGCGAGTTGTTGAGAAGGACTATGCATCTCATACGTCTCATACGTTTTGGCAACACTCTAGTCCCTCAGGTGTCCTGCAGGTGAGAATGATATTGACCCCAGTGATGATTGGGATCTGGACTTCTCCTTCCAGGAAACTCTATGAGCTTCTGTGCACGTCTAGGCACGTTTGTTTGCTTTTTCAGCAACTCCAACGTTGGCCAGGACGAAAACATTCGTCCAGAAATCCGACTGTATGCTGGGGTACAGCCCCGAGTTCATCCGAGTTCCAAATTCCCTCTAGGTGGCTTGCACGGGATTCCTTCCTACAAGTCAGTTGTCAGCCGCCAGTGAGCAATCCAATGACAAAAACAAGAATGAGAAGGATCGGGTGAAAGATGCAGTGGCCAAAACTGAATCAAACTCATCAAAGAGTTTCTCAGCTGCCGTTGCAGGTGCGACTGCGCATATTTCTGTATCCATCCAACTTACAAGGGCAATCACACATGCCACACGGCAGACAGCAACAAATGCAACTGCAAGGAGCAAATTGTGAGTTGACAAGCACAGGCATCAAAGACCAGATGTAGCAGCTCGATCTCAATTTACCCCGAACAAGTGACAACATTTACCGGAGCAGCGACCAGTGCTTGGTGGCATTTGCAACAATTGACAGTGCCTGTCCCAGCTCTTGCTGCGGGATCCAACTTCCAGCGAACATCGATAAAGTTGTTTTGAAAACAATCAATCAATTCAATTGGGTTTGTTCATGTTTTGGGCGCCCGTGCTTTGTTGAGTTGTCACGCATTTGTAGTTTTGATGCCTTCGCTGAAGCGAATCTGCTGATCACCATGTGAGCTTCGATTCCCTTTTGTTTTGAGTTTTGTCGAGCAGGTTGGCGGAGCACGAATTGTGTGCTGATGCGGATGTGTGGTCTATTGCATTGAATTGCAAGTTTTGTCAGCGCACATCGGTTCGGATAATACCCTCATCTTCGGAACGCACACAATTAACAAATTCTCCGCGTGAGTCTAAGTACTATAGCATGGCCCTTACAATAACTCCGATAAATGTGTTGCTGTACCTAGCACTTGACCAAGCAAACCAAATTTTCCCAATGCAGATGGAACTCTGGTACGCAGGCGACTGGAAGCAGCTACATACAACCTAGGAAGGATTCTTTCCATCATCATTGACGTGCATTGACAACCATCGGAAATCGAACAGTAGATCAGCTTGCTCTATCGCCACTTGTAATCGGCCGGGAGAAGCCAACACGATAGTTGCATGCAAGCTTCGGTTCTTTGAGACGAATGAAGAGCACGGTCTTGTCTTGAGCCAAGTAAAAGCCAAGGACGCCCGACTTGTCCAAGATCATGTTTCATTCTACGAGTAGTTCAGAAGGAAGCTTACTCGGACGATCGTTTCTTGAGCCAAAGCGAAGGTGGTCTAAGTTCGTTCCACGACCTGTTACCGTCTTCCTATCCAAAAAGTTGAGAGTGCAAATCTCGTGATCACACTCCCCCTGATCGCTTCGCGATCACATTGACGCTCGAGCTATCCTTCAAACATCTCAAAGCTGCCATCACTGTCCTCTTCTTCTGGCTGAGGAAGGTCAGGCGTCGGTGTTTCAGCTCAGCTCCTCCACTCCTGGATGTGGTCTGGGGATACCAGACTGTGGTGGTGGTGACCCTGACTTTCAGAGCTGGACTCTGATGCCCAGTGCCTTGATGACCCTGCCTCTACAGTTGAAGCTCCACAGCCGTAGAATGTGCAGCGGTCCTTGGACAGAGCTCTCATATAACAAACTCCTTCTACCCTGAGTCTGCAGTTTAAAGGCCTGCTTTGTTTGTCAATGATTCAACGATCTCCCCCCAAGCTTCCACTGATCTTGTGCTACTTGGCAAGGATCCTGCTCGTGCCAGATGGAGCTTTAGCTGAGCCACATCCACTGGAGTTCCTCGATGAACTGGGCGGAAGGCAACAACTCGCGGGCGGCCATGAACCCTCACAATTCAGCCGTTGCCACTCTGCATCCATCTATCTTGACCGCGAGGTGGATCCTGGAATTGAAGAAGCTCCCCGGGACCCCTCGTGGTTCCATGGCGAAGCGCTGCCACGCTGCATGGCTTCATAGGGGCCATGGCATTCTCATCGCAATCGCTGCTATCGAAGTAGCTGTTTGGGCTAAGTGATCCTGCCCCATTGTCCTCCCTCACCTTTTCTTGTGACTCTATTTTTTTGACCAGGAACCGCTGCCTGAATTCTGACCGGAGAAGGTCAATGGGAGTTGTGCCCTTGGGGGTCTCGTCGATTCTGATGCCTACGATCACGGCACTATACATGCCCTACTGGGTTACGGCGGCTGTGAGACTCAAACGCTTGACCACATGGCCCAAAGCGCCCTGGTTCCCTGAGTGCCAAGGCCCACTGAATAGATAGGCGCGCGCTCGATTGTACAGCGCAATGAGACCCTGATTGCCGGGCCCACTGGGGACCATGCGAGGCCACATACGCAGCCAAGAGCCCGTATGCCTTGTCCCTCATCTCCAGTGAATCGGCCAGGATGATTTTTTCAGAGATTTGGCTCTGGTGATTTGGCAAGCATGTACTCTGCGTTTTCATGCCAGAAGCGAAGTTGAGGAAGGTCTCCATTCCGAAACCTATATGACCAATCGGCCAGAGCCTCCTGCAGCACATAAAGTGAGTGTGAGATCTCCGAAAGCTTTGATTCGCTGTAGAACGAGGATCTTAGGGGGCTTGCAACCAGAAGACGCTGTTGGTAGACACAAAGTGTCCCGACAGCTGGTGACTTTGTTTTGGCTGAGTTCAAGGAGGCTCTTGCTGACTCGCCTATTATTTGCCCTCTCTGCCAAAACACTCCGCAAGCTTAGGAATTCAACTTTCGATACCATTTCTCGCGTATCCACACCTAGTAGACTTCCTTGCTCAGTGTTGTTTCGCTGCCTCCTTGCAGTCTGCCATGGATGCCTGTGTTACTTCCCTGCAGTCCCGGGTGTCAAACATGTCAGCTCTGGCCACGGCGACAGCAAAAGGATATGTCATCAGGACGGGGCAGGCAAAACACAGTTTTCACCTCCACAGCCCCGATCGCCCAAGATTCAGTAAGGTTTCGGTTCGGTTGGAATCGGTTTGAATGTTTAATAGTTTATAATTGAAACTGCGAATCGGTTCGGTTTGGTTGTAGAAGTCTTTTTTCATGGACTTTCGGTTCGGTTCACGGTTCGTTTCGGTTCTGTGAGGTATAAGTTTCGCAGTGGGGTAAAGAAAAGAAAGGCAATGATAAAGAGACAAGACAAGACTTTGCTTTCCTTTCCTTAAAATAGTTACTTTCCTGTTCTTTCCTTTTCTTTTGCTTTCCATTTTCCCTTTTTCTCCTGTCCTGTCCTGTCTTATCTATAGTCTATAGTCTAGGAAGGGAAAGCAAAGAAAGGGAATAGAAAAGGAAAAGCAAGGGAAGGAATGCAATTTGCGAATATGCTTTTTCCAGGCCTTGCAAAAAGCATAATGGAAAGGAATGCCAAGAAAAGGAAAAGGAAGGAAAGGAAAGCAAAGCAATGGACAAAGAAAGGAAAAGGAAAAGGACAGGTAAGGTATGCAATTTGTGAATATGCGTTTTCCTGGCAGTCTAAAAAGCATATTGGAAAGGAAAGGAAAAGGACATGGAAATGGACATGGGCAGGTGGGAATGCAATTTGTGAATATGCTTTTTCAAGGCCTTCCAAAAAGCATATAGGAAAGGAAACCCCAGAAAAGCAAAAGGAAGGAAAGGAAAGCAAACCAATGGACAGGAAAAGGAAAAGGAAAAGGGCAGGTAAGGTATGCAATTTGTGAATATGCTTTTTGCTGGCAGTCTAAAAAGCATATTGGAAAGGAAAGGAAAGGAAAAGGAAGAGGACAAGGAAAGGAAAGGAAAGGACAATGTCGGGGAAAGGAAAGGAACAGGAAATGGACAGTTAGGAATGCAATTTGTGAATATGCCTTTTCCATGCCGTCTAAGAAGCATATTGGAAAGGAAAGCAAGGAAAAGGAAAGGAACGCATTTTATGAATGCGCCTGAAGCCGGGCCGGGCCAGTGACATGCTGTATGGACATTCCAGTGGGGCACTGCTGCTCTGAAACTCAAGACTTTGGACAGTCTGAAAAAACGTCACAGCGGAACAGAGCGGAACGGTTCGTTTTTTTTTCCGGCTCGGTTGTGTTTGGAAAGTTGACGGTTGTAATGATTCGGTTGATGAAAAATTTCGGTTCTTGACATTCGCTGACTTTCGGTTCCGAATCGATTCGGGACCCTTCCTGAAGACTCCAGAGCCGGTTTATGTGCCAGACACCTGAGTGTTGTGCCGCATACCCCACCTGCGTATAGAGTATAGAGAGTACAGCGATCCTGCGAGATTGTTGCCGCAAATGAAGATTCTAGCTTTGCGACGACCATGTGGACTTTTCACTGCAGGCACCAGGAGAGCAGGCGCCATCTCCATCGTAGGGTGCCGAGCGTTTGCCTTCAACTTCTCCTCGATGGGACGAATTGCGTTCGTGGCCCGGACCAAGGAGTTATACTTGTCCGGCAGAGGTCCTCCAGAGTTCCAACTCCTTCCTGACTTGCTGCAGCGAAACGGTGTAGGTTTGAACAACGGCCAAAGGCTTCTCCACCTCATAACTTACGAGTTGTTCAAGAGGAAACTCGCTTGGACGAGCGTTCTTGAGCCAAAGCGAAGGTGGTCTAAGCTGTTGTGGTCTTCCCACCCAAAAAGGTCGAGTCCAAATCCTGTGGTCACACAAAAGGCCGCCGTATGCTCAATATTTGCCAGACCTTTTCAGATCGGACATGTACAAGGCAAGTTTTTGAGTAATTGATACAGAGACCAAGGCGACAACCCCCTTTTGAACGTAAAAATTTAAACTTCGCACCTCGAACACCCTGAGCCGCCCGGCTTCATCCAAAGGGTTGCCTGTTATTCTTTGAGCCAGGAACAGCTGCTGTACAACACCCCTGCCTTGGGTTTTAGGAACTCGATAGTATATGCTAGCTGCTTGAATCTTGATCGTTTCGTCATTGAATGTTCCGTCACCGAATCGGTGTCCTGAGAAACTGGACCCCCTCTCAACCCTATGCCGCTGCCAATCTAACCCACCTTTTGGTACCCTGTGATCTTCTTTATCCTCTCCCGGATGTGATCTTGACATCGAGAAGCGCGCTCTCATTTTGTGTGTTAACTGCTGTTAAGAATTGATGTACATTATATAAGTTGCCTTGATGTCTCATGTAGGATTATGATGTATTCTGTGCACGACCGCTGAGTCTAGACTAGAGTCTAGAGTCTAGACTAGAGTCTAGAAAGATCATCGGTCCTCACTGTTGGATTCAACTCGGTAAGGTTGAAACTTATACATATATAATATATATATGCGTTCTACTGAGGCCCGACCAGATGTGACTCTCTTCTGCAACGGGGGCACACTTCTGGCTCATCGAAGGATTCTGGCAGAGGCCATTGGAAGTGATATTCTCGTTGCGAATTAGATCCCAGCCCCTTACAGGTCAACTACTTCGCATCTCTCTTTCAAGGTAGCTTCGCAGAGCACGGAACTGACCGATTGACTGTGGAGGAGGACGCCCTTTGCTGTAGGCATTTGGGTGGAAAAGTTATGTAATGCTGCACATTTATGAGCATTTCCAGCCAGGACTTGGAGGTATTTCTGGAAGTGATCCGCTGGATCTACTGCCGAAGTGCAACTAACGACAAGGAGTTAGAAATTAGAAGTGATGAGGGCATTTTATGCTCTGTGAGTCTGTGACCGTGACCTGATGATGTTGAGGAAAAGGCGTTGGACTTGCTGCGACTAGCAGAATTCTATGGGATAGCCATGCTCTCAGATTTCTAGCAAATGGAACGTTGGCAGGGTGATGGATAGTTTTGTTGTTTTGGTGTTGTCGCTTCTCCAATCATAATATGTGGTTGAGCAAAGCAAAATCCTTGGGAGGGTCATATGACTCTCCTCAAGGTCTTTAGAGTAGGTTTTGCTGCTTCGAGAATAGAGTTGGAAGAGACTGGGGATGGATCCACTGGTCTTTGTTGCCACCAACTGTCCTGACGTGTGAGGCATGAGTTATCGTATATATAAATATATAACTACATCGTGTCAATCGGGTCTAGAAGGTCAGCGCAAAGCAAAGAATTTGATGCCTGATGAACTGTATTGATTTTATTCCAATTTTCATCAACCAGTTCATCTAGCCAGAGCCGACAGCACCAGCTTTATCAAACAGTAGAACAAGCAGCAGCAAGCAAAAGTTCATCAATGTCAGTGTCTTGTCCCGACTACCAAAAGGAGATGTGAAATATGATTATATACTTTGAGGACGACAAGCTTGTAATTGATACCTCTGTCACGGGATTTACACTGAGGAGAACAGGTTGACAGATTTTTGCACTTTTAATAGTCAACCTTGTGACTTTTTGCCTCTGGGGGGCTTTCAGAGAAGGAGCTGTGCAATGCTGTGCATGCGTGCCATTCAGTCGTTGCTGAGGATGGCCTGATCGACCATGCGGCAAGAGTGCTTGCGGCACCTTCCTTTGGCTGCTTGACTTGTGGTACATAACGGTGATGCTCACGATATGAAAAAGTCAAAATCATCTTGGAGATTCTTGAAACATATGAAACAATGCAGGTTATATATCTGGGGGGACAAAATAGCTCTACAGGCTAAGGCCAGGATGGGGGTGAGGATAAGATGATCCGAATCATCAAGGGAGACAATGAGCAACACTAGTTGAGATAATTGCAGATCTGTAACAGATGCATCCTTCACGAGTTCCTGTCCAGAAGGCCAAACACAGGCGATAGAAATAGAAACCGTATACTTTTGACAAACACACGCACAAAGAAATTAAGTTAGGAGGGAAAGGCCATGAAACACGAGATGCACAAGCAAAATGGAAGGCCAAGAAAGACCTCTAGCCCCAAGACAGTTCAATCGACAAAATTTCAATGCATGTTTGCCGAAAACCATGGATATATGAACCGTCATGAAACCAAGCCACACCGAATTGCTTTGTAATCTTGACTGTACATGCTCACCCTCAAGCGCATGGAAGCTGTGGTAAAAGGCCTCCAGCTGGTGGTTTCCGGCGCTCACTGTGGGGCACCCCTGCCCCTTTGCTGGCCTGTACCTTCCTCCTCGGCCTTGTCTCTGGCTGCCTTCTCTCGAGCCTTCTCCTGGCCTGGTTCATAGCACCAGCTTTCTGGCAGGTGACTCCTTCGGATCCCCCTGTGGCTCGGCTGAGGGCCTACGTGCATGGACGGGCAGTCCTCAACCGGGTCAGGAAACAAGACGATTGACCTGGCCATTGCCTTTCGAGGCCTTCAGATCACAGTTCGCGGTCCTGCTACTGAGGCCGCTGATTTTGTTCGGGACCTTACTGCGGGTGATTCTCAGCCACCTACGCCACCTCGACCTTCCACAACATCACAAGGATATACTACTTGCTCTCCTCCGAGGCCGTCATCGGGTCCTTCAAGGGTGTCCACATGAGCAGGGCTTCCCTGTTGGAAGGCTTTGGGGAGTGTCCTCCTGCTGTGCTGGCTCTCACTTCCAGGCTGTCCACTCAATCTGGACGGGCCACACCTGTGGAGAGGATCAAGAGGGCCTGGATTGCTGGAAAGTGGGCAGCTGCTACCGAAGCAGGACGGGTGTCTTCACCCAATCGTACACCTACCATCGATTTGCCCAACAGGATCTACGCTGTCATTCGGTCCCCGTTCAGCAGCTCCCCAAGAGTTTTCTCTACCTCAAAGGAGTTCTTTGCGGCAGTGAGCAACTTGGAAGGAACTGAGACGATGGACGCCCTCCTTCCACTGACTTCGGAGACAGAGGCATCAGGGTTCCAGCCCTATGTGCTGGATCTCTCGAACTCTGGAGCGGATCTTGGTGGGGAGCCTATCGTTTTGGGCTGCTGGTGACGAAGAGATTTCATCCCCTGCCGGGCCTTTTGTTTGCCATCCCTACGAATTCAGTGCCTGTGCAAGTGCTGGCAGGTGGCCAGACAAGTGGGTTGGACGAAATGCTGGGTCCTTCCATTACTGTGAATCCCGACGACATCGCCACCTCCCCTTTGGAGATTCAGGACCAAAAAGTTTCGGTGTGGCTGATAGATTTTTCCAGCGAGCTGGCAGAGTATGCATGGACTCTTCCTTCCATCGAGGACCTACAAGATGTGGTCACTTTCTCGCATGTCTTGCCAGACGACGTGATAGCAGCAGCTCTGGGATGGACGATGGGAAAGGATCTGGGAGAGAGAGTTCAGTTCTACTCCGCCGCCGAAGAGGAGGAGATGGTCCCAGGAACTCCGCTGCCCAGGAAAGTCTTCTACTACGCCCAGAGGCGGAGACCATCGCCCCACTGTGGCGATGCTCGCAGAGTCGCTGGAGCAGATCTCTCTCACACTCCCTCAGCTGGCAGCTCAAATACAAGATCTCTCAACAAGAACAAGTCACATCGAAGCAGCTCAGGCCACTCCAGGCAGACCATCAGCCTTGAGGAAGCCCTTAGCTCAATTAGCTTCGAGTGGATTGCCTGGCACACGGCCCCTGAGCTCTTTGGTGTCGGATATGCCTCCCGTCTGGCGCGTGCAGTTCTGGAGCAAAGCAAAGCCCTCACTACCTTGGTGGGTCAGATTGCTTCCTCCTCCTCGGATCCCATGGGAGAATTGGCTTCAACTACGGGGGGCATCTCGAGCAAGGGGGCTCTCATGGGGAGGGCCAAGCTCCAACAAGAGCTGGCAAGCCAAAAGGGGGCCTTCTTCACGACAGTGGTGCAGCAGATGGCAAGACGTATGAGCCCGACCTCCTCAGCAGAACTTTCAGTGGGAGAGCTGCATGCCAGGGAGGTATACGCCACTCGCTACCTGGAGAGATTCGGGGGTTTTGGCAGACACCGAGAGTTGGGTTTTGTGATCTGGCAAGTCGCAATGACAATGGACTTCACGCAGCAAGACAATGCTTTAGCCGCCAGGGACGTTCTTGCCCTCCTTTTTGTTTTCCTGGAGCAAATGGTGATGGACAATGGGAAAATAGATGTGGCAGTAAATCTGGCGCTCATGGAGGATCCTCCTCAAGGCCTCTTCAGCAATCGGGCCTTCTCTGCGATCGCCAGGCAGCGAGCTTTCGCTGCCACGGCGGATCAAAAGTGGGTAACTGTGGCTCTTCAATATTTCAAACAGCTCGATACCATCCAGACGCGCAGAGGAGAAGCCACAAAGGAGAAGCCAACTACTTTAGTGACATCAGGCCCAAATCCCAAGAAGAAGGCCAAGAGAAAGGGGAAGGGCAAAAGAAGCCCAGAAGAGGAGCAGGAATAGAGGAGCCTCCAAATCCGCCGGCGCTGTGCTCTTCTATGCCAGAGCGTCCCATCCGTGGGGCTGCTTTTTGCGGGACCGGTGGATCGGGGGGAGCCTCTTCCTGCGACTCTCCTACAGTTGGAGACTATGACCAGAGCGGAGCATGGACAAAAGCTGGATAAAGATCTGGAGGGCATGCAATTTTGTGAGGACTCCCTTGAGGCTTCACTCACGTTCCGGCAGCTTGTCGCTGCTTTGCCGAGGATGGTTTTGAAGAGCCGTACAAGGTTCTCTGCACTCTTGGCAAGATCTTTTCACGTCACTTTCAATGGTGAATCACCTTGCTCCACTGTGTTTCCTCTGCCGCTCAAAGACTTTGGGCTCTTTGACAAGCAGATATCCCGAGGCTCAATGCTGCTCAATGGTGGACTACTTGCCGCAAGAGGCTAGTACATGTCTTCATTATTTTCCTCAACTATATGTATAGAGGGGGAGCAGCTTTTGGTCTTGAGGCAGCCAAGTCCAGCGCAGATGCAAATACATCAACACCTTGGCGCGCTGATCACAGTGAGTGATCTACCTGGAGACTGCCCACTGCCTCCGGGATGGTCAGGACCTGAATTCATAGCTCGGCTGATTGAGCTTTCCAATTTTGTCAACTCCCACCCTGTCTTCGACTTGACTGGCTATGGTGGAGAGTTCCATCCGAAAACAGGGCACCATCCACAAGAAGCACCTCTACACCCCCAAGTCTGAGTTTTCTGCCGTCAACCCCTACCGTGCTTTGGATGCATCTCGGCTGAAATTGACACGAGATGGCAGTTGGCCTATGCACGACTACATGGACCACATTCTCTGGCTGCCTTTTCTTGAACTGCAGATTCTCAGGCATGGCTCAGATGTGGACTGGGTGGGCCCAGACTTCTCCCGAGAGTCGAAGGAGGAAAATTTGAAGCTGGCCAAACTTTGGAGCACCAAGGGCCTTTTGGCCTTGTTTGACGAGCCCTGCGATTTCCCCTCTGGGGTCTTCAATGCTTTCAAGAACAGTGACGTCGACAGACAAATAGGAGACAAGAGGTGGTGCAACGGGGCTGAACTTTATCGAAGAGGCCCCTCGGCTTTTCTCCCTTTGGGGGTGACTTTGACATCTCTACACTGCCCAAGAGGGCAAAAGTTAGTTGGGTGCGTTACAGATCGACGGGATTTCTATCATCAAGCCCAGGTGTCAAGAAGCAGAGCTTGGTCCAACCAACTTCCGTTTGGCTCTCAGAGGAGCTCGTTCTTTGGCAGCCGGGAGCTTGAGGAGCTGGAAAGTATCAGAAGTCAAAGTATGATAGAAGCGTTCATGGTGACCGCCTACAGATGCCACGTAGAAGGTCACTACTTGTGGGTGAGCAACCTCAGAAGATATATGCTGGTTTCAAGAGCCTTTTTCAAGGAGACCATTTGGGTGTCGAGTATGCTTTGATCAGCCACGCTGGACTCTTGAAAGATGGTGGTCTCTTGTCGGTCAACAATCATATCCTAAATCACAACCCTTTTCTTCAGGGCCCTACTTGGGAGATTCTGGTCATTGATGATTTTGTCATCATATCTACGGAGAAGGCAATATGTCCTGCTGGGGCCTTGCGAGCTGAAGCGAAGCTACTCATTGCCGAGGACCTCTACAAGTCAGCAGGGGTGTTGGGATCCGATGACAAGACCATCAGAGGAGAGTCTACTTTCAAAGCCGTTGGTGCTGAGATATCCTCACGCACCCATGCACGAGGCGCAGGCATCATCGGGGTCAGTGGTCATACAGCAAAAAGAGTTTCTACAGCCTTCCTCTCCCTGAAGCTCGCGGCCATGCCAGTGATCACTCGGGGATTAGCATCTCGTCTTGCTGGCCAATGGATCTCCATCTTGATGTTTAGACGATGCCTTACATCCACCCTTGACGGCCTATTTGCTTTGGGGACCCCTTCGAAAGCTCAGGCAAATGATGTCATTAATCTTTCGAGGGCAACGGCGGAGGAGCTGGTGTTGGCCAGCGTTGGAGGATTGCTGGCTGTGACAGATGTCTCTGCTGAGTATGACAAGCGTATATATGCCACCGATGCATCCCTTGCCCGGGGAGCGGTAACTTCATGCCTTGACAAGTGAGTCCCTTTGCAAAACCCTTTGGCTCGGAGGTGACAGGAAGGGGGCATACTCGGTTCTAGACAAGGGGGGCCGCTGCACTCCTTCGAGAAGTTGGACAGTCTTCTGAGGATGAGAGGGGAGATGCTCAAGTCTTTGGTGACCTCTTCAGGCCACCAAGGTTCCTGGACTTCCATTTTGACTTCGTCGAGATATGTGGAGATTCTGGGGCCCTATCCAAGGCAGTGGCTGCTTTAGGTTTGAGTGTTTGCGCCCCACTCGATCTCAGCGCCAGCCCAGACTTTGATCTCAAGGAGGTTAAGCTGCTCGACTGGATCATTCAGATGATCAGAGAGAAGAGATTCAGATCCTTGGCCTGTGAGCCTCCTTGCACTGCGTTCTCCCCGGCACAACATCCAGCTTCAAGGTCATACCAGCAGCCACTTGGTTTTAACCGTACTGATCCAAAGACCTTGGAGGGCACCACATTGGCCTTGAGATGTTTGACCATCATGTATGTCGCTTACCAATGCGCCGCACCAGCGCTACTCGAACAGCCACGCCTGAGCAAGATGGCATGGCTAGCGGCTTGGAGGTGGCTGATTTTGTTGGGCCTAGAGGAAGCAGTTGTCGCTAGCTGCATGTTTGGGAGCATCCACCGAAAGGAGTTCCGCTTCCTCTTGTCTGGTTTTGACGTACAAGCTTTCCAGGTAAAGTGCTTAGGTGGGCACCAACATGTAGGGGGCCTACACCAAGAAGAGCGCCATCTATGTCGAGGGGGTCGCAAAGCACCTTGCCCTACAGGTTAAGCAGGCCCTGACGGCTGCAGAGGAGCCGCGCGAGACTTCCAGAGGGCTCGAGTCTGTCATCCTCAACGATCTCTTGATTTCTCACAAATGGCGCCCTATGTTCTCTTGCGATTGGAAAACCCCTGCTCACATCATGAATGTCCTGGAGAGCCATTCCTACCTCGGCCTCCTTCACAGACTCGCCCAGAGAGGAGGACGAAAGAGATTTGTTGCCCTGCTGGATAGCAGAGTAGCAAAGGGGGCACGTGCGAAAGGGAGATCTTCAGCGAGGACTTTACAGCAGTCACTGAGGAAGGCCTGTGCAATTACAGTTGCTGCAAACCTGCATCCCTCCTTTGGTTTTGCCCCCACCAGGCTAAACGCAGCTGATGCCCCCCACAAGATTTCGTGATCTACCAAAACCATCGAGACACTCCATTTTGGATTACCTCGATAGCGAGCAGGTTGTCAAGCTGCACTCTCATCAGTTCTCAAAGCCTCAGGCAGGATGGATCCGGCTATTCATTCTTGCCTCCTCTGTGCTTTGTCCTGGTGTTGAGGCTGGCTCTCAGCCTGGTCATTCAGTATCAGAGGGCTTTCTACGTGAGCTTACCAATTTCGCCCATGACGGGTGGACAGCCCTGTTTTGGGCTGCTCAGCTCATCCCCTCCGGCCTCGCCCTCATTAGACTTCTTGGAATTGCTCCTTCTCGTCGCAAGCTTCCACGTCCCTGGCTCTTTGCTTACTTGCTCCTCCTTAGCACCATAACGGAAACCGGTCTCCCAAAAGGTTGGTTTGTAAGGGTACCACAGCTGTCCTATGCATGCAGCCATTTGGGCGCGGGACCGCGTGTTTTCGTAGAAGCCATGTCCCTGGAGCCACAAAAGCAGGTGACCCGAGTGCAGAGTTAGGCAGTTCCATGAGCTCGACACCCAGCTAGCGAAAAACTTGAGAGCCACCCTGACCAAGCTGGTAGACCGCTCTCAGCTTGATGCAGAAGTGGTTTGCGAGGACCTGACCGCCTACAGGAAAGAAGTTTTCTGGCTTGAGAAAAAATCAGGAGCCCAATCAGTATGGCACCAATCCGCACGTGTTGACCATGAAAACATCGTCCAACCGGTCACACCAGTCTTCAGGAAGCTTGACGGACCTGCCTTCCTTTTGCCAGGGGCGCCAGCTACTTTGAGGAGGCGGTTCGTCACGCTTCAAAGACGTGTTGGTCTGGAAGTCAGAAGTTTGCCCAACAGTTCACCTTACGACCTGGCCCCGCTGCGATCGGATGGAGCAACACTCCTCCATCAATATATGGAGAATGGTCAACTAGTGAAGAGGAGGTGGAGACAGCTCAGTTCCATTGGCCTGGAGATATACATACAGTCATGACCGAGCCACCTTCCTACCGGAGAAAGTCAGGCCGAGAGTGTGGTGAAGCAGGGAGGTTGGGAAAGTTGGTGTGAGAAGCCTGGCTGTTGAAAGAATCCAGCTTGGCTAGACAGAGAGACAGCCTTCTTGGCGTGAAAAGCAATGCTTGAGAGATTATATATGATGGATCATTATGGAGTCATTGTAGAACAGCAGGTAAGTGTTCGTTTGGCTGGAGACCCCGGTCGGATCATATGAGCCCTGGAATCCTCAGGCCTCCTAAACAAGCTCTGGATGTTAAAGGCTTGGTGAGAGTTGCACTCAGATGCTTTGGCCACCTCTCAACCTACTCAGAGTGCACAGACGAGTGTGACTCAGAGCCTTTAGCACCAGAAGCTCTCAGCTAAAATATAAGTATTCTGCATTTGGCCCGCTAAAAAATTATTCTATTGTTGTTGCCCTTGCTGCTCGGTGCTCAGGTCACATCCCATTCATATAGGCATGATGTAGAAGCAGTTCAGCACCTCCAATGCACGATTGTTCACGAGGTTTCTGCGAAGGAGAGGAACTTAGCCAGCGCTGCCCAGAGTTTGGCCATAGCTCTGAAGAGGAGTGTGCTCTGAGTCTCTGAGTGAAGATTGTTGACATGTTTGCCTTTTCCGAATTTGCCTGCTTGAAGCCGGACTGCCAGGAGAGGCCAGAAGAGTACACTCTGGCGGCCACTGCAAAAGAGTACGAACAGGCAGAAGGTTAGTGCTGCAAGATGTGGTTGATATGAAGTGGATTTTTCTGAGCGCTTTTGGTTCAACAACAATTTGAGCTGCATCAGTGTGACTGTTCGACCAGGAGGATGCAAGACCAGATAAGTCTCGAAAACTGAAAGATGTGTGAACGTGGGCATGCAATGCCGCCCATTTCTTGCTTCTCAATCACTTTGCGCGCAAGCATTGGCGCAAGAAGGATGCAGATTGTAGAACTGTAGCGGTGTACAGTGTACAGGGATGTACAGGGTTTGAAAAAAAGGGCACCAGACAGTGTGAGATGGACATCTGAGTGAGAGGAGTGCAAACTCGATTTGGTTTTGCGAGTGTTTGCTACTATTTCTTCTGTAGGTGCAGTCAGTACAGTGCTGATCACAGTGCTGATTAATCTCCTGACCCTTGGTTGGGAGCTTACAAGGGAGGCTGCCCATTTCCAGGCCTGATGTTTGCGCACTGTACGTGTAGTTCATATGACCAGGGGTCTTGGTGATGTGATGAATGAAGGGAGTGTGGAAGTTGCTATTGTATATGAAACCTGGCAGTTGGAAGTTCTCCGGAATTGTTCTACATGTGGGTTCTCTTTTGATTGATGCAGTGAAGGATGAACTACACCATGAATGATCATCCCAAGAAGTTGATGATGCCTCACAATAGATGTCTTCCGGGAGACTGTGTTTCAGTAGGAATTTCATGGAATTTACATCCTGCCGCTGCCTCCAACATATGCACGCTGCTTTGCATTGCTTTGCTATTGTGAAGCTTCAAAAGCCAAACAAAACAGATGTTGATTGATTCCTTATGATTCATTGCTTGCGTCCACCTTCATTTCATCGACATCTGATACACAGTGCGTCGTTTGTGGTCACAAACTCCGAGCTGTCCTGGGACTCGTGAACGAGCGCTCGCCGGGTGGTCGCTCCCTAGCCCCCACAATTGTCGCCCTCTAGCCCCCCATCATTCGGAATGCCATGGATTTGCATACAATACACCGTACACCAACCAATACAGTTGTCGCATAACAAGGTTTTGGCCACGTCTTTTGGCCCAGCTGGATTTTGCTTGTACTGTAACTGGTCGAATGTTCTCTCAGCCCACCGTATCACCCAGAGCAAACTCGCTTCCCTCTCTGGACTCTAGGCTGAGGATGACCTTGGTGACTCAGCGAATGTGATGTTGATAGGTTTTGTGCTGGCATTGTCATAGGTTGCACAGCTCAAAGCAGGAAAAGCACAAGCACAAGGCTTGCGTGTACAGAATTGTGGCAAAATGTTTGAGAGTTTCACGTTTCACACAGATGCTCGCAGCAATCAAGTCAGTAGCCAGCAAAGTAGGTTTGGTGTACAAACGAGTCGAGAATGGCATCTTTGGTCTCTTTGGCGTGCGATGCCGCGCTAGGCGGGCAACTGTTTCACGGTCAAGCCGATATTTTGAGCTGCAGGCTTTTTAAAAAAGCAGCTACGGCTGTACATGACCCGGGCCTGTCTTAGCCTTCAGTGCCTAGGCTCGGCTGAAATTCGAAGATTGGACTCGGGGATGTCGTTGAATGCATTCCAAAGATCTGCAAAGCAAGGCATGTCAAGCTTTCATGGACTTCCGGAACATCCTGTTTCTGTGAGAGAACCAATGCTTGGTTTCGAGTGGCTTCTGTGATTCTAAACAAATTCGTTTTGGTCCAAAGATCCCTCGCAGTTTGACTTGCCTAGCACCATGAGCTTTCATCGCACATGAATCATTCAGTTTCCGTGGCTCGAGTTGAGAGATTTGTTTCATGTATTCATAGTCTGTTGAAGTTGATCGGTTTGGTGTTGATCGTCTTGTATCGTCTTGTTCTTATTGACAAATGCTGTTGCAGTGTGTATACGTAGGTAAATGTAGGTAGTAATTCCCATGTATGTTGTCCATGAACTTGATATCCAGTGAGTTCTCCATCAAGAACCGCAGAACTCATCTGCGTTTGTGCATCTGAGATGAAAAGCCTTTCATATGGGGCGGCTGATGGTGATCAGCCTCCAGTATCTGATGAAGGCCACTGCTGCCATCCGGGCAGAGCACACGCTACACTGCTTGAGGCTGTGACGCTCGCTGCACTTCAGAAAGTGTAGAGTTTCGACATTTAGGGATTGGCCAATGTGCTGTGATCATTCAGTGTGCTGTTGCTGCGAGGGGAAAGGTTTTTAGCAGCAAGTGCTGCCAGGCTGGAAAGGGATTCGCTTGACAAATCCGCTCAGGGCATTGCGAACATTCTATGGACATATGGGAAACTCAGCCTCAAATCGACGCCTCTTTTGTCGAAGCTTTCCCGATCATGTTCCTACCGCTTCTCACCCCAAGGCACAGCGAACATCGTTTGAACACTTGGAGTAATCGGCTCCCAAGACTTTGCCCTTTTGAGCTCTCTCTTGGAAGACTCGGCTGCTCGCCTTATTGAGCTTTCACAGCAGAATATGGCAAACATCATGTGGACGCAAGGAACTCTGATTGCTCGGCATATGCCGCTTGTGATGGGAGTTGCTGATATGTCCTTGCAGAGAATAGGCGAGTTCACACCGCAGGGATCAGCCAACATGGCATGAAGGGTGTCTCGCTTGGAGCTTTTTCACGAACTTCAATTGTCCTCTTTGGCAAGTGCTGTCATCAGCAAGACCTCTGAGTTGCAGAGCCAGAACGTAGCGAACATAGTTTGGACCTTTGGTGGCCTTGCTGTGCCAAACTGCTCGCTCTTTCAAGCTTTGTCTCTCAGAGTGAAACACATGCATGGCGAATTTGATGCACAAAACATATCAAACATTTTCTGGGAACTCGCCACTGTGATGCATGAGGATTCTTGTGCACTCATGGCCCTATCGCATGAGGCAGCCAGCAAACTGGACACCTTCACGGGTCAAGATGTGTCCAACACGGCTTGAACTTGTGCAACTCTCACTTTCGAAGGATTCTCATTGTATGGATTGCAGGAGGCAGCAATGCGTACTGTGACAGAAATGCACCCTCAGAATCTATCAAACACAGTGTAAGCTTTCTCAACCTTGCAAGCTCCTGCTACTTCTCTTCTTGCAGCAATCTCCACAGCGTGCATTGCATGCCTGGCAGAGTTCGACTTGCAAGGCTTAGCAAACATTTTGTGATCGCATACCAATTTACTGCGTTTGCGTGACCCTATTTTCGGTGCAGCAGACACACTGATTTGTTCATCTGATTTTCTGCACGCACATAGTGCGGACATCTACAGCTCCTACGAGGTGGCAAGCAGGTATGCGAATCATATTTGTCAGATTGTTTGGGCATTCTCGTTTTGCGGCCGGCTTTCTGCCCATCTAAGCAAGTGTTTGCAATGTGAGCTTTTGGATACTGGGCGAAACCTTGATGGCACAGAGCTTGATACCCAAAGGCTCAGCCCTCCTGATGTGCTCCCAGCAACCGATATGAATGCTCCACGAGTGTTGGCAAAGCTAAGAGGTATTTTGGTGATTTACAAGCCACCCAATTGGGAAGTTGATGCGAAGAGGAACAAAACTGTTGGAAGTGGAAGGACGAGACTCCTGTCTCACTTCGTTCAAGATCAGGAGACCTCCAGAGTGGTGCGGTTGGCCACTTTTGAGTATGGCTTTATCCACAGACTTGATGTTCCAAGCTCTGGGCTTGTATTAGTTGGTACCACGTTTGAGGGCCTTGCAACGCTCCAGTTTCAGATCCACACATACTCGATACGTCAAAGCCTAAGCACTGCAGTAAAGGTGGAAAAGTCACAATGGATGTGTGTCGTTCTTGCGGCAGGCCGTGAATACGCAGTTCTACTTGCAGGTTGCTGGCCTGTGGCCGTGGTGAAAGTTAACATGCCAGTGCAACCCACAGCTTTTTGACTCAGATGGGAACACGTAAATGTCAAACCTGGGTGCTTGTCTGCCTTGAGGTGCAGGACTTTCAGCCAGCGCGGAGCTTCGTTGATGAGGGTGGTCGGCCAGCAGATACCCGCACCAAGGCATGCAAAAAGGAAAACGGCTTGAAAGGACGTTTCATGAGTGATGTTTTCCTCACTCTTGGCAACTGAGAGGCCATAGCTCATTTCAAGGAGGGCGCAGAGCTCAGCTTATGACAAGCCCAGATTGTCAAACATGTTGTCCGCAGTTAGTTGAGGTTCTGCTCACAGCCTCATTTGCATAGCCATTTGCACAGGACGGATGATATATAGATGGGAAGTGACGGTTTGTTTCCATGCAGAAGTGGCAGTGGACGGATTCAGATCGAAACTGTGCAAGTCAAATGGTCCGGTATTTGCTGATCACTGATGTGAGATTCTTTTTTTGGATAACACGCTGCCTCAACCTTGGCTCATTTCGTTTACTTTGTTAATCTTTGTTGAAGGGAAGCCACCAACAAGATCCCCCAGGATATTCGGACTAGAAAATGGGAGGGGTTGACGTCTGTAGAAAACGGGCATTCTTTAGTCAAGAGGGGGTCAGGTGTTGCATTTTCTATATAGAGAAAATATAGTTCACTAGAATATGAGACACGCAGGTAAATAATTAGGCATGCTTCCAAGGATTTCCAAGGTCATTTTCTAGACACCGTGTTTTCTTGATTCTTTTGCCCCTTCATTTTCTAGTGAGGGTTCCTCATTTTCTAGCAAAAATGAATCATGATGAGTCAAGATGGAATTTAAGTAAAACATAGTATAACATAATATAAAACAATACATCTTCAAGATCTAGAAGCAGAAATTTCAAGAAATACATTTAGAACATTCAAGACATACACATAATTTTCAGGCCGAATATTATACTTGAGTTTTGCCCTGTATAGCAGCCCTCTCATATATGTACATGCTTTATGCGTTACTTGTATTTGGCTCAAGATGAAAACAGGCGCGACCCGTCAGAGCGCTTGTTGTGTTGACTGTTTGCTTTTGGTTGGGCTGGTTTCCACTTCAAATGGTTGTCAGCCGTATCGGCTTTGTTTGATTGTTGTTGTTGGTGTTTGGTGTTACTAGGAACAACATTACATTTTACCCCGCGCCCGCGGTTGAAGGACCCTGACCGGCCAGCGTCACCGCGGCATTCGGTCAGGTGCGGCAGCTAAGCGCCGCAGGACTGCGTTTGCTCGCAACGCAGCTGAGGAACAGGGCGTTCCTGT